GTGTGTGGTCTTTAAGTATGAAAGCATCATTTAACATGTTTATAGGTTGTGTGTGGCATTTGTATGATTAAACTGGCCTTACATTTCAAGAACAATTTTTCACTCTCCTCTTGCATTTTCAAGGCTTTATGTTGCAAACAATATGTCCTATTCTGTTCCAGCTTATTTTTGCTTGACCCATGTGCCTAGAATCCTTATTCTACATGTTTTAAGTTTGTATGTGGTGCCAAATTGTCTCAACTTCCATGACCTATCCTACTTGTTTTTGAATTGTGACAGTCTTGCATTTTCTTGTTTTGATGCCAACCAATATGCCATATTCTGCTTGGTGATGTTTTGGACTGATTTTTGAGGCATGATCTCGTCTATTAGCATATATGTGGTGTGTGTGTGTCATTGTTGTGGCATGAACCTCATTGTTTTGAAAGATGCCCTGTTGTACCACTAGTGTTGTTTCAAGACAGTTTTCTTCATAACCATCAACCTGTCAAATTCTGTTCCAATTGCCATAGGCCTGATTTCTAAGCATGATCTCTTTCATTTTCATGATTGTGATGTGTGTGTGTGTGTGTGATGATTGTATGACCTATGTCCACTTGTTTTCTCATTTCACTTTCAAATTGCATTTTCAAGCCAAAGTATGCCATGACCGTATCAAATTCTATTCCAATTGCAATATGCTTGATTTCTGAGTTTGAACTCATTCATCTTCATGTTTATGATGTGTATGTGTTGTTCTCATATTGTAAAACCTCTCATTTTGTTCTTGCCTCATCTTACTGCCCACAATTTTTTGTTACAAAGCCACAGCTGCAGAACACACTTCACTCTTTCTGTTTGTGTGGTTTTGAGTTTATTTCATAAGCATAGATAGCATGTTTTGGTTTGTATGTGTATGAACCAGGCCCCATTCATGATTGCTTAGCCAATTTGTATCTGCCTGTTTTGACAGTCTGCCTTCCATTGTGTTACAATTGCAACTTGATAGCCAATTTTTGTTGTGTGCATTTCATGATCAATCTTAAGTTTTAGCATCATTCATTGATGCATTTGAAACTTGTGTATGGTTTTTTTTTGCCTAAACCTTTTGCAATCATGACATGTCTTCTATTATGCATTTTCATGCTTAAATGAGCCACTACATATCACTTTCACTTTTGTTTGGTTTGTGATGAATCTTGAAGTGTGGAAACACTTAATACCATGTTTTGAGTTTATGTGTGAAGCTTGTTCAACCTGTTTGTGTTTATTTCATGACTTGACTTTCAATTTGCATTTTTCAATTTTCACTTGGCATATGGCATGACAGTTGTGTTTAGTGTTTGATCTTAGCATCTTGATTGTTGCTAGCTTGTTTCTTATTGCATTTTGAATAGTTTGGTTGAGGTTTCATGATCTTTATCTGTTCTGTTCTGATCAAGTTTTGTATGCATCCATGTTTGGCATATTGTTTGGAAACTAGGCAGCAAGGCCCTTTGGTTTTGGCCTGCTGTTTGTTTGTTATTGCTGGCCAATCTTCGATCTTCCCATTTCCATTTAGGGACCAGCCACATATAATCATGTTTGTAACTGTGGTCTGTTTAGTTTTTAGCAGATTGGTCTTTGTTTTGAAACCATTTGATTTTGATTAAGAGCACAAGCTCACTTTTTTTACAAGGTTCATGCTTTAACCAATATGCTGTCATATGTTGCCATCACACTACTTTCTTCTACCTGAGCACTCTTGTTTACTTGTAAGCATTAAGAGCATCATTGACATATTTAGAACTTGTAGGCCATGTGTATGTGCATTGAACATTTCCATCCGCCCTTGACAGTTTGCCTTCATTTTCATGTTATGTTTGCAATTCTTGAACCAGTTTCAATTTTATTGATTTGTGACTGAGCCCTAAGTGTGTAGCCCATCTGTTATCATGTGTATGACTTGTGTGCAATGTCTATTGGATGTGTGTGTACTCAGAACTGGTTTGGATTTCCTTTATGCATTTGAAGCCTCCCATATGCATGTGCTATTGTGTTTTACTTTGTATATGTTATTTCAAAATTTTGTTGTGACCATCTTGATCCTCATCAAAAATCATTCAAGTTTGACTAAAATTTCATATAAAAAGGTTAGGTTTTGAGAGAGTTATGGATCAAAACGTATTTCAACTTTTCCTTGTTTTTGCCTTGGCCTGGCCTAGGTATCTTGCCCAAAGAAGCCTTATAAGTTTATTGGGGTGGCTAAATACTTGGATGTATAGCCACCCCAGTGGTAGACACTTGCGCGCCTTATACCCCTTTGCCTGCCTGACCTGAGTTCGATCCATGGTGATCAACTCTTTTGGCTTTTTATTTTTCAATTGTTATTGTTTTATCATTTTCTTCTTTCTTTCCATTCCTCTCATGTGCGAGCGTTGCGGCCTGTTGGTTTGTGTTGTGTTTATGAACACAAAGGGCGTGGATTCAATCCCTTCCCATGCCACTTCCTTTTATTTATTTGTTTCTTTAATCATTCTCTTCATGAAAAATCAAAATATCATAACTTTCTCATGCTTTGTCATTTTTAATCCATTATTTTTGCAAATTGCTCATTGTAATGTCTATTTTCATTTAATGGAATAATATTTCAATTTTCTTGTTTTTACAATGTCGTTTGCCTACTTGTAAGTTGGTTCGATTTTTAAGTCGTTATCTCACGTCTTGATAGATTTCTCTTGAACCATGCTTGATTTATCTTGTAAGATTTATTTGTATGTGATTCCTATGTGTTAGTTAACATGTTAGGTTTGCCTACCTTTGGTTATCACCATGAATTTGTTGTTCTCTTCCTAAGTCCTGAATTTAACTGTTGTGAACATTCTTTACGTATTTGATTGTCATCAATGCCTAAATGTTGTTACATTTGAACTTATAACATGATTATCTTAAGTTGTGACTTATTTGTATGATTGTTGTCTCCATATTTGTTAATATGTATCCTTTAAGTTGTTTATCTTTGTGAAGATATGTCATTCTTGATTTTAACCATTTGTATCAATCTAATCCTTGCTTATTGTAATATGCATGCTTGCTTGGTTGTAACCATATTCCTTATTCTTCATGCTTAAATGTTTATGCTTTGTTAAGTTTATTTTCCCCAAGTGATGGAACTCTTTAGTTCTCATCCCCGTTTGCCTTCTCCCTCTTTTTGGTCTGGAAAGAACCAATAGATCCTTATTCTGTAGTTCGTACCCGAACTATGACCGCTCTGATTTCTCATTGAGCAATGAGAATACATAGGCACAAGATGCGATATCTTGATGAGCAACCTTCCCCCTTCTTCCACCTTTTGGTCTGGATAGAACTAATTGGTCTCACAACGCAGAATTTTAGGATAGAGTTTGGTTAACTCTATGTAAGTATCATGGACATGATTACTTACTTCCCTTTCTTGAGAGTTCAACATAGATCTAGAGAGTTTTGTGAAACTCTACACAAGCATGGATATGTTTGTTCCCCTTTGAACCTTGATCATAATCAAGTGTTCTTCATCCCTTGTGAGGTGAACTACGATTGCTCTGATTCTATCCTAGTAAGGATACGTAGGCAGAGGACGCGATGTCTTTGCGGGCAAACTTAGAAACTATCTTTAGGTTTTAATCTACACCATTTACCCAATCCCAATCCATAGCAAACACTTAGCAAACTTAGCATGCAAACAAACAAAAGGTTCATGTAGAGTACTACAGATGTTTAGGATGTGAAATACCTACCCTATGCATAACCAACCCCCGATCCCCGAATCTCTTAGCGTTGTTGTAACATCGCGCAAAAGGTTCTTTCTTTCTTTAGACCTTTCCTTTGGATAAATTAAAGTCCGATTGTGAATTTAAGAATTAAGATTCAAGTTAATCAATAGCTTGGTATCACGATTCTCACCGCAACAGGAGGCTGTCACGATGACGTAGAGCGAGCCTGACAAAGGCAATAGCGAGACATCTCAGAGTTAGGCTAGTGGTGAAGCAGACGCGGTGGTGGCGGTACGAAGGTGGGTCTGGGTCTAATGGGTCTTTCGATCTGTTGGAGCTTGGGTCCATTTTTCTCGATCCACATGTATTATTTACAAATAATTCTATTTTATATCAACGTTTTTCAAATCTCTACCATTCACTCTCTCTCTCTTTTGTGTATGGAACCGCATAGCCAACAAGAATAGCGATGATATGGTGTCTTTGTTCAAAAGTTCATCATAAGGAAGGAGTATGGCATCCTCGAATGACATAGGAAGTGCTGGTGGTGGTGAAAAAGGTGTTTCTTTAAGAGGATGACGACATTTTCCTTTATGCTCTATGCACTAGTATAATTTTATTGTAGTGGAATAATCTATAAAAAAGATGGAAGGTTGGGCGCAATGACAAGAGCCGAGCTACCATGTAAAATCAGAAGCCGCATGTATGGGTCATATGGTCATCTAAATGAGTCAGGAGGACGCCTAGATCATAATGTTTATTATAAGTCCCTACAAATTATAGGGTAGGATACTCCCACTTATGTTAAGATATTATAATTTTCATGGATAGTAAAAAATTGATTTTAATAATAAATTTATATATAATGTAGGATTCTTTTATATAATATAATATTAACCTCAAAATTAATGATATAATAATAAATAAATAAAATTGTGCTTTTAAATTATAAACTCAATAGAATATTCTTGAAAAAATATCATTTGAACATAAAATAAATTATTAAAAAAAAAGTTTGGAGAGGCCTCCCTATAGAAATAAATATAAACATCTGGAAAATGGAGCAGAAATAGAGAGGGAGTACTACAGTTATTAACCGATGTAGAATGATTAATTATGTTTTCCTTTCCAAAGTCTTCTAGAAAGAACCTTTTTCAATTTTTACTGTCATTATTATGTACAAGTCATTTAAACAGGAGTGCCTCCCTTTTACCAAGGCATCGCTTCAGTATTTTTACTCGATTTTGTGGCAACAGTTTTGTGTTCTTTTTTACTGACTCGGCTAATACCATGGCTGCAAATGCATCAGGCCAACAAAGTAACGATCAAATTCCCCTAACAGTTTTTGTTGACAAAGATAAAAACAAAGTTGTGTACGCTGAAGCTGGCAAAGATTTTGTTGATGTTCTTTTCAGCATCTTAACATTGCCCTTAGGGACTATTGCAAGACTCGTGTCTAAGGATTCAAATATAGAAGCAGTCAAATTTGGCAGCATTAGTTCTCTCTATCAAAGTGTGTCAAATCTTGATGAACAATATCTATGGTCAAACACATGCAAAGGAATGCTACTCAAGCCAAGGAACTCGATGGAACCTTATTGCCAGAAGATGAAACTCAACATCGACGAAACCGAACCCTTGATGTACTATTTCTGCGAGGACAAGACTTGCAGAATAGAAAATTGGTACAGTTTGTGTACGTTCAAGGATCAAATATGCACTTGTGGAAAGCTAATGAATGTAGTTCTTCCACAAAAAAACAATACAGAAAATGGCTTTGTTGAAGAAACGTCTACTTTTGTTATTTCCGACAATCTTTTCGTGATGCCTAATCTTCTAAGAACAAGTTTAAGTCTCTTTCAGAAGCTTGGAATCAAGGACATTGACGCTGTTGATAAACAAACCGTAAATATCAGCAAGAATGAGGCATGTTTTCTCAATTTTCAATTTTTTTATATTTTCGATTTATTATTATATTGCATTGTTTCCTAATTCTTTTACCTCTGGTTTGAGTAGGTAGTTGATATTCTCAAGTTTTCTTTGATATCAAAGACTCCTTTGACAGACTTTATATTTAAAAAGGTTAAATTGGTTAGTAATTTAGACCCAAGAAACCGATTGGAATTTTGGATGGGTGAATTGGAATTTGAAAAGAAACCATCTGATGACTCTAATATGGTAGTGAAATTCCTGAGAAACTGGTTGGGATTTTGGATTGGTGAATTAGAGTTAAAAGAGGAAGCATCTGATGAATCTAATATGGTTGTGAAACTACTGAGAAGAAAATCAAATGAACAGATTCTGTTTGCCGAGGCTAAAGAAGATTTTGCTGACTTTGTTTTTAGTTTTCTTACCTTTCCTTTAGGAGGAGTGTTGCATATGCTTCAAGGATTCTCTTTTTTAAGCTGCGTTGATAATTTATACAAAAGCATGACTGAGTTGTGTTCAGCTAGATGTTTATTGTCACAAGAACTCAAAGACAAGTTAACTAAACCTCCGATTTCGATGGAGTTCAATGTCAGGAACCAAATATTACCTATCCATGGTGATTATAAAGATAAAAGTGAGCCATATAGATTTGTTGATCCTAAATCTCCTATTTATGGAGGATTTGCAAAAGGGCCATTAACTTTTATGGTGACAGATGATTTGGTAATGAGTCCAATGTCATCTAGTAATGTTGTTTCATATTTAGAAAGAATGAATGTTCCACTTAATGACTTGGAAGAAAGGGTTGTCAGCATAGGTGTCAAGGAGGTAAGCCTTATCTGAAACTTTTCTTATTGCACTTATTCAAGTATTACTTGTATCATATTGACAAGTCACAATGTTTGATTGCATGAAAATGCAGGGTCTCAGGATTTTAAAAGCTGCATTAACAACAACTTCTGCTTTGACAAACGGTCTCAGCCTTTCCGTAATGGAGCAGTTCTTTCATGATCAAAACTCTCAATCTATCGATAAGAGCTGACATGGCAAGTACAATGACTTATTAAAAGCTTTGGATGCTGCACAATAAAGTACTATAGCTATTGTGATTGTGGTATGAAATTGAGAGTAATTGATGACTTGTCGAGAACAGTTTGATCAAATATTTTCTTCTGTTTTGAGTTAAGTAGTATTATAAAATGGTTTTTGTTGTGGTTTTCGGATTTTATTTTAATATATATATTATTATGTTTTCAAGCATGAATTGTATTGAATCCGGAGAGTAAAAGAAGGTGAAAGAAGTGAAATCAAAATAACTGTGATCTTATTTTGCTTCAGTCCTACAATTATGGAGTGGCATTCATTAGTAAGTACTTCAGAATATATCTTACTTCTTTGACATATATAGCCTGTTCTGCAGCCTGAAATCGAAAGAGAGAAAATCAAGCTAGATTTATTCTAATGGGTGAATAACATGACAAGAACATTTGTGCTTGGATTATGTTGAAGTTCTGTTAGGACTAAATAATCAGATCACTATCCAATTTCAATTAGGCAGATGGTGATCTGATGTTGAATCTAAAGTGTTTGGATGGTGATATGATTTTTTAGTTCTGTTTTCTGAATCAGAAAGCGCTTAGATGTTAGAATGTTGGGAATGAATGAATCTGGCTGTGGTTTTCATTTAATTTTGCAGCCTTCTGTTATAGATATATTATGGAAAAAAAATTTAGTTTGGTTATAGATTTTTTCTATGCTTTCTTACTTGGCTCTCAAAATTTTAGCTCGATGTTACTTGTCTATAAAGTAATGACTTCGTCTTGTAACACCATCCCACAAGTTGATGGTTGGTATATATGAAACATCATTAACTTGAATTGCAGGATGTTAAAGGGTTTAGGCAACAATGGTTTTTTGAAAAAGTTAGTCAATTATTTCTTTGAAGAACATGGTGCCGTAACTCAAAATTTTACATTTCCTTTTGTCTTTTGCATAGGCATGTGCATTCGCATCGCTGACATTCGACACTAGCACTTTTTCTCTGTGGTTTTACTGTAGAAATATTTAGGTTTTCAAAGCCCGATTAATCATATCCTCACAAGGTCATCGTATTATCAACACAAACTAAAAAATAAAGATTTTCATGCCTATTCATCAAAGTAAGAGGTCGAAAATCGGGACCATGGCCACAACACTTGTTTTTAAACAAACTGGGCAAGTTTTGCCTGTGGTAATCAATTACCACTTTGTTAGGAAAAATAGGGTAATCGATTACCTTGTGTGAAATGGAAGATTCTGATGCATTTTCATGACAGTAACTTTGCAGTCTCCTTTCTCTTATGATCTACTTGGTTCTAACATTGTGTGGAATGTTTTAGACAGTTCAAGACATTTCAAGGATATTATTCCAATACATCACTTTGAATCAAGACTACCATGTAACTTCATTTCCAAGCATGATGACCATTTGATTTGGACTTGCATTGAGATTGCTCCATTGAGTTAACAACTCACTAACTGAGTCAACTTCCGACTCAGTGAGTTAGATGTAACTAACTCCAAAGCTAGTGTCAAAGCAAGCTTCAAAGCACACTCCTAACCTAGCAACTCCAAACCTCCACGCTATATAAAGAAATCTTCACCATTTCGCAAAGAACCCTTGATCATTCTCTCATTTTTCATTCTTGACCTTCAATCATTTTCACCAATCTTCACTCTTCACTCTCTCATTTCTCTCAATTCTCTTTAAAGTTTCTGCAACTTCTTCACATTCATCTTCATTTTTTTCCCAAAACCACACTAAAGCTCCATTATAACCATTGAAGAGTAGCAATTTCACATGGAAATTGCTTTCCTCTTGAGCTTAAATTTTCATCTTATTATATTTCTTCTTCTATCTCTGCAACTACAACAACTTCTACATCAATTCAATCATTTCAGTGCAAATTCAATTTCGGAGCTTTTATTGCATTTTCGATCGGTTTTGCTACGATTTGATCTCAAGATCAGAATTCTCTAGTTTTCTCGGCTTGTTCTCATCACATATCAATAGCAACAATCACCAAGACAATCCTCTGTCTTCTAGGTTTATAATTCGCACTTGATTTACTATTTTCGATCACTTTCGCGTGTTTACGATGTAGTCTCGATAGCCTATCGGTGTTGATTAATCATGTGACTGTTTGATTCTTGATCTTCATGCTTAATGCTTTCAATTGATGATTAATTGCTTCTAATTGATATAAATTTCGTGCACAAATGCATGCCATAACATGTGGATGATTGGATAAGTATTTAATTGCTGAAAGTGGTTTTTAAAAAATCTGTTTTTTGCCACTATCACAATGGTAATCGATTACCTATATATGGGTAATCGATTACCCTACCCTTTTTTCCACATTTTTGCAGTTTTCAAGCATGTAATCGGTTACCTGCATATGGTAATCAATTACCACTGTGACATAATCCTACTTTTGTGCTTTTTCAACCTTGTTTGATATTCTTTCCTAATTTAACTTTCATGGCTTGATATGCTTGATATTTATGGGTGTTTTGTGAGCTGTTTAATTTCTATTTGAAGCATATATGCAAACTCTTGATACACGATTTGTCAATTCTTGGAATGGTTTGCATATTTTGATATTGTATGATCATGTTAATTCTTGCACACTTTGCTTACATAATGACATGATTTATGATGCATGCTAATTGGCATTTGGTACTGCCTTCCAATTTCATTCTTGATCATATTAAGTTTGTTCTTCATTAAGCAAGTTTAATAATCTATAATCAATAATCTACACGTTTGCTTTGATGATCTTTCAACTCACTTGAAAGATTGTCGGCTTGTTCATTCCCTTTGGATTAATTGATTAAAACCTTGTTTCGATTAGTTGATCTTCTCTCTTTTTTCTCTTTAGGATCTTTTAGATTCTTGTTCTCTCGATCCCCCGTGGAGTAGAATGTCTGCAACACATTGGAGTATTGTACAACTTGCGTCCTTTTTCTATCAGTTTCATCTTCTGCACTATGTTTGGGGTACTGGAGAAGGAATGAGGAGTCTATCTTACCATCATTCTGACTGTTTCTTGGAAAGGGCGTCTGGTCCTTACACCTAGAATAAGTCACCTCTATTCCCGAGCTGTGGTGTCTCCTGACCTTTGATCACTTGCACTCTAATCATTGTCTCTTGGATTGATTTCCTCCTTTTAATTTAACATTCCTTTATCTTTTGGTCAATCAATATTCTTTGTTTTCCCAGAAGAGTTGTAATCGCCCCTTCTTTGGCTAGTCTACCGTTCTTTGATTAAAGCCAAATTCTCTTCTTCCCCAGTAAAGTTAATCTTTTTTTTTGGTAAACACAGTTTGGTTGTCAGATACTGAATCTATGGCGGAGTTTGCAACCTTCTCTTAGTTTTGTCTCCCTTTTTCTTTGGTCAATCACTGTTCGTCAGTTAAAATACCAAATTGCTCCTTTTCTCAGTTAATCACAGACTGTATGTTATCATACTGAGCCTCTCTTGGGTTAACCACACTCTCTTGCTTAATCACTCATTTTTTGGTTGATCACAGTCCGTCTGTTAAAACCAACTTCCCTTGTTTAATCATATTCTCTCGGTTAATTACTCGTTCTTTGGTTGATCACAGTCTGCCGGTTAAAACCAACTCTCTTTGGGTTAATCACCTTCTCTTGGTTAATCACCCGTTCTTTGGTTGATTACAGTCTGTCTGTTAAAACCAACTTTCCTTGGGTCAATCACCTTCTCTTGGTTAATCACCCACTCCTCAATTAACTTCAATCTGTTTGTTAACATACTGAGCTTCTCTTGAGTTAATCACCATCTCTTGGTTAATCATTCATTCTTTTGGTTAATCATAGTCCCTCTGTTAAAACCAATATCCCCAGCGGTTAGCAATCTTTCTTTAGTTCAAATACTTACATCTTTGGGTTAGTAACCTTCTTTTGGTTCAAATACCCTTTCTTCGGTTCAAATACCCTTTTTTTAGCTCAAATAACCTTCTTTAGGTCACAACCTTTGCTTGGTTCCACACCCGTCCTTTGGGTCACAACCTTCGCTTGGTTTCGCACCCGTCCTTTGGATCACAACCTTAGCTTGGTTCCACACTCGTCCTTTGGGTCACAACCTTTGCTTGGTTCCACACCTGTCCTTTGGGTCACAATATTCACTTGGTTCCTTTGGGTCACAACCTTCGCTTGGTTTCACATCCGTCCTTTGGGTCATAACCTTCACTTAGTTTCACACTTGTCCTATGGGTCACAACCTTCGCTTGGTTTCAAACCTGTCCTTTGGGTCACAACCTTCGCTTGGTTCCACACCTATCCTTTGGGTCACAATCTTCGCTTGGTTCCACACTTGTCCTATGGGTCACAACCTTCGCTTGGTTCCACACCCGTCATTTAGGTCACAACCTTCGCTTGGTTCCACACCCGTCCTTTGCATCACAACCTTCGCTTGGTTCCACACTCGTCCTTTAGGTCACAACCTTCGCTTAGTTTTGCACCCATCCTTTCGGTTAACCATTATTTATCAGTTACACCAAAATCCCCTTAGAGTTAAACACCTTCTCTTGGTTCAATGCTCTCTTTCTGGTTCATCACAGTCTGTCTGTTGACACCAACTCTTTCCCCCACAGAATCATAATCTTCTTTCTCCTGTTAATCATTTCCTGCCAGTTAATGCACTGAATCTTCAGTGTTCTTTACCTTGTCTCAATTCCATTCCTTTTCTCCTTTATTCTCCTGGTTTCGACACCATTCCTTGGTTTTCTCCTCAGTGGAGTCATCACCTTCCTTTTTAGACTTCCCCGTTAGAATATTTCTTATTCCTCGCACTCTTGATTTGGACATCATTCTTCTGTACTCCTCAGCCGAGTCTTTCTACTTTCCTTTCGCTCTTTGTTTTGACACCGCTTCCTCTTCCTTTTCTTTCTCCGTCTTTGTTCCCTGAACTACATAGGCTATGACTTCCTCATTGAACCATGAGGATACATAGGTGCAAGATCAGAAGATCTTGGCGAGCT